AGAGTTACCAGGTGTCCGGTAATTGCGTCTTCTGTCCGGTAAAAAAAAACAGAAAATACCAGACATGTATAATGTCCAGTATTTTCTGGTTTTCTCGGACGGAAGGCTGGTGGAGACATTCTTCCCCTGCCATGTTTGGCGGGGGAAGCGCAGGAATTTAAAGGCTTTCCCCTGCCATGTCTGGCGGGGGAAGCGCAGGAATTTAAAGGCACTTTTTTGCTCAGGATTTTTTGTGAAAGTATCCGGCAGCCCTACCCATCAACCTTTTGTGCTTCCCCTCTCATCCTGTCTTTGCTTTGCCCCTTTAATCCGGCTACCATTCGCAGTTCTGCTGCGCCTCCTTATCCCCTGTGATGAAGCACATCCTATTCCTGGTGTTACACAGAGAACCAGCCTCTGATCCGAGGAGTCAAGCCCTGCATGTTTCAAAGTCTTGCACAGTGAAGCCTCTAAGCTCTAGGCTAAGCTCTGGAGTGGAGGAGAAATTTCAAGCCTGTGCCAACCCTGAACCTGGAGATTCCACAGCAGCCCCTAGGGCAGAGGCTTAATACCCTCTTCACTCACCCCCAGCTCTGGATCCTGCTCTGTCTCTGTTGAGCCATCTCTCCAGCTGGGTACACTGAAGCCCCTGCAGACAGGCTCCTTCAGCCCTGGTGCAGAATACGTCCTTAGGGCTTCACCCACTCCTGCACATGACTGGAGGACAGGAGGCAGATGGGTTATCTTAGTAGCCAGGAGCAGTCTGTAGGAATTGGCTGCCTTTTGACGCTATGCAGACTGGAAGGGACAAGCTGCTTCCAGTCACATAGGAGCGGGCGGTTGCAGGGAGAAGAGATGAGTTCTGCCAGATCATCCCTTCCCTCTGCCCCATGCACCTCCACAGCACTTAGAAACAGCTCCCACCTGTACAGAGCCAAAAGGCAACTGCTGGCCACATTCTGGTGAGAATTCTGGCAGAAATCTGGGGATGGATCATGTGATCCTGCATTTCTCCTCTCCGCCTCCCTCCCTTCTCCTCCCTCCCCCATGCCTGCCCCTCCACCCACATGTTGCCCCAAGAGGCTGTGTCAAGTACCAGGAGACGAGCATCCATCCTGGGAGCCCAGCCAGATGTAGAGGGCGGAGAGTGACAGATAGGAAGAGTTGGGTCGTCTACAGGACTGTGTGTGTCACCCCCTCCCTGTTTGAACCATGAAACCTTAAAGATTAGAAGGTAAATTAAAAGAATCTAACTACACGGTATTTATTTTAAACAGGGAGCTCAGTCAACTTAATGTAAATTTGAATGTTTGTATGATCGATTGCCATTGAACCTGTTGGAATCTGAGTAATTTTATCAGGTATGCCATATTCTGTATAAGGGTATATGGTCACCCTAACCCTTAGTGACTGCCATACCATCAAACTGCCCTGGACTGTGTGTGGAATACTCCTCTGATCAGAGACCCAAGTAGAGTTGGTTGTGAAGCATAGAATTAGATGCTTGCCTTGAAAGAACCCCATTTAGGATTGTGAAAAGCCACAAACTGTCACTGATGTAAATACGTGTTATTCACCTTGAACATTATACTCCTTTGAGCTAAGCAGTCTGAAAAGCAAAATTTCATATTTTTGCCAAAATCTGTTTTTCTGAAAATAGAGATTCTTCCTCTTCAGTAAAAGTTAAAGTTGCAAAATATTAGGTTTTAATGAGAATTTTTAATATTTCTGTTTGCGTGATTGAACAAAGAAAACATTAAAAATAGCAAGAAAAAACCCCTTTTGAAATGTATTTTTAATTTATTTTAATTTTAATGTATATTTAATTTATTTTTATAACTCTATGTTATACTTGTGCCATAGAAAAACTTAAGTGGCTGTTTTACAAAGACAGCAAAAAAAATCACTTTGTATCCATCAGTTCTGTCTGTAAACATTAAAATAAGTAGATACAACAAGACTGTTGTAGATACAAGACTGTATTAGATGTCTCCTCTGATAGCAAAGATGTAGGCAATGCATTCCTTGAATTACAGAAATATGGCATGCTCTAAAATTAGCTGTCATGTATTGCAAATTTATGCTTTTTCTATCATCCAAAACCACACAAGACTATAATACATTCTGACTATTTGTTATTTTGTAGTCATTTTTCCCAATTTGTCCTTTTTATCTTTGGCACAAGCAAATAAATGCACTGGCTGCATGTAATTCAGCCAGAGGCCACTCAAAACTGTACCATTTCCAAACCTGTTTGTAAAGGTGTTTTAGATACAGTCTTGAGAAATTCCCCTTGTTAGGAACCATCCGTATCTTAATATTAAGACCCATTTTTTAGAGTTTCCAGTAAGGCGGGCAGGTAGTGAATGATGCACAATTATTTGAGACTTTGGAATAGAATTTTCCTCCATACTTCTTATTCACTTTGCAGACATTCAACAAAAATTATCTGCTCATACTGATGTTCATATAAATTTAGTTTCAGATTTTAACCACAGATCAACTCATCATTAACTGAAATACCATTTCAAGAGGAAGCATAAATAGTTTAAAGGTTATGTCATCCAACTAGGGAACAGGGAAGCATGTGACTTAGGTCACACACACCAAATAATCAATTGTGGATAACATAGTTGCAGTGAACAGTTTGAAAGCAATAAAAGGCTGAAATTTATTTGCAGGGCAAAAAATATAATTTTGAATAGCAGATTTGTAAAAATGAAATTTAATGGTAAATTTTTAATCAAAATGACAGCATTGACCCACTGTGAATTTTTCATACATCTGGAGACCACAGAGAGGACAAAGTGATAATTTTACTGATTTTATTTTCTTCTTTTTTGATGAGGAACTTCTATATCTTTAATGCTATTTTAAAGGGAGCAAAAAGTGTTTCAAAATTTGGGACGTAAAATCCTGATTAATCAGTTAACTGGTTAAACATTATATTTGACTGGTTATATTTGACCAGTTAACAAGTTAAACATTATAATTGATTAAATGGGAGTGATGGGAGTGACCACTCCAGCCCATGTGGGCTGCAGCAGCCCCTCCAACTGCTGCAGCCCTTACACTGCGAGCGGAGGCTGCTCTGGCCAGGCTGGAGTGCCCCTGCACATGGAGCCCAGTAACTGAGCCAGGTCCTCTAAAGACAAGGGCTATTCTAGCCAGGCTGGAGCACCCCCCATGTGTGGTATTCCCCACAGAGCTGGAATAGCCCTGCCACAGGAGGTGGGCGGCTCCAGGCCACTGATTAACTGTAACCTGCTATCCAACCATTCACATCCCTACTTAAAATATATTTAATTTTTATTTTATTTTAAAATATTTTGCCGCATTTCTCTATTTACGATATTAAAACACAATATGTAAAAAAGTAGAATAAAAGATCCCAAGAGGGGGGACATTTCTCTTTTTAAAATATTAAAACACAATATGTAAAAAAAGTAGAATAAAAGATCCCAAGAGGGGGGCATAAAACCTACTATGACACACCAAGAGGAGGGGCCACACACACACACAAAACTCAAGCACCAATAAAAGCACAGGTAAAATGGGTGGCTTTAGCCCGGTGCTGAAACAATGCCAGTGTTGGCACCAGGCAAATGTCCCAGGGGAGGGAATTCCATAGCCTAGGAGCCAAGGCTGAGAAGGCCCTGCTCCGCATAGATATCAACCTTATTTCCATAAGTGGAGGAACACGGAGCAGAGCCTCCCCAGCTGATCTTAATCCCTGGGCAGCTTCATACGGGAGGAGATGGCCCTTCAAATACTCCAGTCCCAAACCTTTAGGGCTTGTTAGGTTATAACCAGGACCTTGATTTGTGCCCAGAAACATACCAGAAGCCAATGCAGCTGCCGGAGCACCGGCATAATGTGCTCCGTATAGCAAGTGTTAGTTAAAACTCGAGCAGTTGTATCCTGGACCAGTTGAAGTTTCTGAAGACTCTTCTAAGGAAGCCCTACATAGAATGCATTGCAGCAGTCCAACTGTGATACGACAAGAACATGAATCACTGTGGCCAGATCATTCTTACTCAGGGAGGGGTGTAGCTGGCGGATCAGCCAAAGCTGCCAAAAGTACTTCTGGCCACTGAGGAAATCTGATTCTCAAATGCTAGAAAAGGGTCCAGGAGGACTTCAAAGCTGCACACCTGTCCGCGCCACTGGTCCGCAGACTGGCGATTGGGAACTGCTGTGTTAGTTCCTTATTTTATCTTAGAGCATTATACAGTTACCTGGCACACAAACTGCCTTTAAATCGTATTGCTTAAGGACCAAAGTCTGACCAACCTCAAGTCAGAAGGGGAGTTTTTTCATTGACTTAAGTGTGACCATAATTTGTCCCTTCTCCCACACCTTTCATCATGAAATTTGCTTAGCTCTGAATATGGTGCTGCTGTTTGTACCAAGCAATCAGATCCCTTACTTGTATTCTCTGTGCTAAAGAACTGAAGTATTTTAAGAACTTGAGTTTTCTAGGTGGTCATCACCCAAGACAAATTGATGGAGTTGTCCATAAATGCTTTTGTATATGTGCCTTAGCATCAGATTATGGTCTTGCTGCAAGTATTTTCAATGTTCCACTTCTACTTCATGCATCCTCCCAAATGAGGGGAAACCTGTTGATGAATTGAATAAAAGGAGAATAAGAGCTTTCAGTGTAATGTCTGACCAAACACTGACATAGGGCTCACTGGAAGGTAAACTGCATAAAATAAGAACTTTCTCTGCACAGCAGTTTGTCATTCTCAGTTGAGGTGTAAAAATCACAAAGCTTTATGCTTCATTTTGATAATAGGGCCACATCATGATGTGATGTTTTAGCCATTTCGATAGCACTGGCACACATGTAGATCCAATCCAACTTTTTACTGCATGTATTGATGTTTTCCTACTTCAAGCATCTTCTGCTTTTTGAGATATATACTGTTTATCTGCTGGACTGTCCCATAACGTATTTTAGTGAATCTGGCAGTAAGTCATAGAGATGCAATTTAAGCATTTGTGTTTTATTGCAGGTGGCTTCATCAGCTTTAATGGCTCCTGGCGTGTTCAGGGGATTCTGGCTATGTCTCGCTCCTTAGGAGATTATCCACTGAAAAACCTTAATGTTGTTATCCCAGACCCGGATATTCTGACCTTTGATCTGGACAAACTACAGCCAGAGTTCATGATCTTAGCATCAGATGGCCTGTGGGATGCTTTCAGCAATGAAGAGGCTGTTCGATTCATCAAGGAACGCTTGGATGAACCACATTTTGGTGCAAAGAGTATAGTTCTACAGTCTTTTTACAGAGGATGCCCTGATAACATAACAGTTATGGTGGTGAAGTTCAGGAATAGCAGCAAAACAGAAGAACAGTGAATTTATGACCGCTTTCTCCCACTTCTCTTGTGAACTTAAAACAAACTCTTGCATTTTAATGTAGTAGAAAGTTCTAGTAATTATCATTAAGATTGTATGTAAAAGGAATGGGAAAGATCCCTCTGATCTGTTCCTTACTGAACAAAAAGGAAGAACATGATAAGTATGTTTGGGATAGCCATAACAATTAAGTTCCCCACCTTGTCCTGCCTCCCATCACCATCCCTTCCTTTATTATAGTTGATTTCTAAGGTTTAAAATTCCTACTGAGCCTTTTCCAAATACTGATGCTTCTTAACTTTCTAATAGCTGAAGCTGCATTCAGACAAGCATTAAGGGGACAAGACACTCATACCAAGCAATAGAAATGACACTTCTTTTCACTCAGAGATGTAACTAACCTCACAACTGCACTCTTCAATGTTTCACATCCTTGTTTTTCTAATCTGCAGTGATAGATTGAAAAGGATTTGTAATTTTTGGACTGACGTTTACATTAAGAAAAAAGAGAAGCTAAACGGTAGCCTCTGTCAGTCCACAATTGGCCAAGCTCTTCATTTTTTATAATTAAATGTGTCCTGTCTGCTACATGACTAGCTAAATGTACCCTGCTTCCAAGCAACTACACAGTCTATGACTTTCATGACACTTCTCCTATGCCAAACTGCATTCCAATCAACTTGATAAACTCCTCACCAAACTCTAAGGTTTGATGCCTTCAGTCACCAAGGAACTGTTGGGGAACGCCTAGCACTTGTTCCTGCTTTTTAGCAAAGAATTTTCATAAACAAAAAGAGGGAAAAAATAAAAGATGCTTTCAAGCAAAGCAGAGCTTTGTATGATGTTCTAGGGAAGGGGTGGGCAATAATTTAATGTGGGGTCACTAAGATGTTGGTAAGTAGTCAAGGACTGCCCTTTTCCATGGAGTGTGGGGTCTGGGACAGAGGTTGGGTACAGAAGGGAGCTTTGAGGTATGACATTGGGCTGCAGGAGAGGGTGTAGGGCCTGAAAGGGAATTTGGGTGAAGATGGGGATTGTGACCTGGTGCAGGGCTGGGGAGGGGGTATGGATGCAAGAGAGGAGTCTGGCCTGGGGGAGGGGGTGCAGGTCTGGGAGGGAGTTATGACATTGGGCAGGTGCGAGAAGAAGTGCAGAGGGTTGGATGGTGAACTGAGGCAGGGCGTTAGGGTGTGGGAAGGGCTGGGGTATCAAAGGCAGGCGCTGGCTAGTAGGCACCTTACCTAAGTGGCTCCCAGCCAGCAACCCAGCAGGACCCTCAGGCAGAATCCCTACCTGTTGCAGCTGCAGCCCACTCAAAGTGGCCAGCTGTGGGTCATGTGCCTCTCTGCACTGTGCACCCGGTGAGGGAGACTTCGCAAGGAGCATGCAGCACCTAGAGGCACATAACCTCAGCAGTCAGCAACTTTGAGTGGCCTGGGACTTCAGCAGGCAAGGAGCCTGCCAGAGGATACAGTGGCCCATGGACCGGATCTTGCAGTTCTAGGGAGTTTCAGTAACACTACAGCTTAATTAAAAATATTTTTCACAGAGGAAAACCCTAAAACATAATTTATGAGGCATAGTGTTCACACTCTGTACATCACCATTGCCCTGTAAGTTATTGGGAGCATGTTTTAGTGGAAAAACTTTCTTTTAAGTCAGGAGTGGGCAATAATTTTTTGCCAGGGGCCACTGCAAAAATTTTTGCCCTGGGCCTGAAGCAGAAGGGGGTCGGGGCAGGATACTTTCCTGCTTCCCCACCCACAGACCATGATTGGTCTGGGAGTGGGAAGCGCATGAAGTCTTTGGCTCCTCCCACAGAGATTCCGCCTGGATCCCCATTCCCATGGCGGTGGGAGGAGACTTTGTGCGCTCCCCCTTCTGGTCCAAGTCCAATCAGGGTTTTGGGGTAGGGAAACGCATGAAGTTTCCTTCCACCCTGCCAGGACCACATGGTGAAGAGGTCATGCACTGTTATCAGTTAAATCTTCCATATACACATGGTGGGAAGCTGGAACTAAGATGATGGTCCTTCAGCTACCAAAAAAAAAAATCATTATATGCCTCAAGCAAGTGAGCTAAAGGAAATCTCTCCAAGCAGCTATTGTGTCGCAGCTAGGCTTGCATCAGGAGCCCAGGAAAAAGGATTTGACTGTGTTAACTGTACATGTACAAATTCATGTACCATCATTCAAATAGGGAAGGTACAACATAGTGATTGGAAAGGCAGGTAGGTAGGTGATCCATGAGACACTGTTGCTTTAAGGATGAGCCAATGTAGAGCCCTGGACAAGACTATTATTTAATTCCAACCCCACTATTATGGCAGCAAGACCTGTGGAAGTCCAGATCAGCTGCAGGGTTCTAGCATAGTTTAGGAGCCTAGAGCACAGTACTAGAGCACAGACTAGCTTTGCAGGTGGCACTGACCTAGACATTTATTCCAGGATTAATACTCAAAGTTCTCTTGTCCCATAACTGAAACTATTTCAACCTATGTTAAGTGTTAGCATTTGTGAAATGTTGGGTATTTTTCTACCTTTTCTTGAATTTTTATTTTATTTAGTTTCTTGACAATTAACTCCTTTGCGATGCACCATGTACAAAACTTGTAGCTTTACTAATCTGCCATAGCACTGTCAATAATTGCAATAATGCCCTGCCTATGCGAAAGAAGTTCACTTCTATCATATGTTTTTTATATCACTGGTGGATTTTAGTCTTAAAAAAAGAGAGTCTGACTCACTTTAGGGTTAAAGAAAGTGCTATACTAAAGCAATCTAGGAAAGTAGAGTTAACTGTTTTAAAAACCCTACTTTCTTAGGTCTTTTCTTTAGTAATCCCTGCCAGTTATAGTCTCTAGCAATTTCATGAGGTGGACAGCTAATCGTTAGGGTCAAGCCTTTAATATTCAGGTGGTTAGGACACTCACCTGGGATGTAGGAAACGAAGGCTCAAGGCCCTGCTCCATAGAAGAGTGGAGAGTGCGAAAGAAGGCCCTGCTCCATAGAAGAGTGGAGATTTGAAAACACACCTCCTACTCTCAGATGCCTGAACCACTGGCCTATGGTGTATTCTTGCTCCTCCCCTTCACTCCCCAAAAAAATCCTGATCTAGTTGCCCCACGCTGCCTTTGAGTTAGATGTCCTCAAGGCAGATCTATTGGATCAAGCACCACAGGCAAGCGAGGCAGGAAATGTCTTGTTTGCAACGAGCAGTTTGGTGACATTATTGCCTTAGGTCAGTGGTTCCCAACTTTTTTTATACCAAGGAACAGCAAATCCATTCACAAATTTTGGGCAGACGGGTAATATTTTATGAATATGCAAATGTGCAAGTAAAATGTTGCCAATCCACCAAAATGTGCGCCCCAGAGCCGCCACATAGCAGCCGGCTTCAGCTCTGGCAGCTGCCACGTGGCAAGTGGCTGCTGGAGCTGAAGCCAACTGTTTGCAGTAGCTCTGGGGGCTAGGATTGGGGTATGCCAGCTCTGTCCCCCAGAGCCACCATGAACTGCTGGCTTCAGCTCGGGCAGTTGCCACAGCCCAGCAGCCAGCGGTCCATGGCCCAGCGGAACTGCCCATGCCCAGCAGCAGAAACTTAGACACTTAGGAAGTTTAGGTGGGTACAGAGTTAAGCAGCATCTGAGTAGTTTTGAGGATTTCATAGGCACCTAATCATTGGAGTAAGAATCTAAAGGGGCAGTTAGGCAACTAAGTCCCTTTGTGGATCTAGCCTAAAGTGGCTAAATCCATGTTCAAATATCTTGTCCCTTGAATCTGAGTATCCAGATGTGAAAGGCTGTTCTATTATACCAATGCCATTGTCCAACAAAACCATCTCAGTATTGTTCATTATTAAACATTGTAAATTTGTAGTTACACATCATGTACTATTTAAAAATGTTGCTCTTAATAAGAATGGTATTCTACATCACTGGCTAGCCAGAGCCAAATTAATTTAGTACTCTTTTATACATATTCTTATAGCAGACCTTTGCAGTTTCACTGTGTTGTGTTATATGTGTGCTGTATTGTGAACTCTTTGCAAGGACTGTGCTTTAATAATTAAAGAGCTATAATCTCTCCTCATATTCCGGCTGTCAGCAAGGTTCTGGTCTGCATAATACATTATCTTTCTGTGTGATCATCTCTCCCTCTAGTGTCTAACTGGAGGAAATATAGAAGCCTACTGACTGACGTTAATACAATAGAACTTCAGCTAGGTTACGTCTAGACTACAGGCTTCTTTCAGAAGAAGTGTTTTTCGGAAGAGATCTTCTGAAAAAACTTCTTCCAAAAGAGCGTCCACACTGCAAAAGTGCATCGAAAAAGCGATCTGCTTTTTCCAAAGAGAGCATCCAGACGCTTTCTCGCATGTAAGCTGTGATTGCTATGGATGGAATGGCCACAAGGTCACTTGTGCTTTTTCCTCTTTTCTCCTGTTCTGAAAAACCTCCTTCTTCCCCGTGCACACACACCTTTTTTTGAAAGAGCTCTTTCGCAAAAAGGCTTCTTCCTCGTAGAATGAGGATTACCTATGCTGAAGAAACCCCTCTGTTCTTTCAGTTTTCTTGCAGAAGAACAAAATTGCAATGTGGACGTGCCTTAAGTTTTGTCGGAAAAACGGCTGTTTTTTAGACAAAACTCTGTAGTGTAGACATACCCTTAGAAACATCAAGAGTTACAACTGACCAGTCAACCACTCACCTCATTTGGAACCACAAATGGACAGAAGCAAAGACAAAACAAAAAGCATGACTACAATACAGTAATGTGTTAAACATAAATTCCTTTTTTTTAAAAAAAAAGGAAATATTTTTCAAAAAAAGCTTTGACAAAGAAAGGAAACTGTTCCTGTGCATGATCCATTTAAATAAGATGTTTAAAAGCAACATTTTTCTTCTTCATAGTAAAGTTTCAATGCTGCATTAAGTCAACGTTCAGTTTTAAACTTTTGAAAGAACACTAATATTTTGTTCAAACAACCTCTGTTCCTCCTAAGGTGGTCATAATTTGAAGGTTCTATTGTAGTTGCTTCTTTAGCACAAGCAGAAGATGCATGTAGTCTAAGGGTGAAGTTTACTCGAGTACATAGGTCCTGTGCAAGATCTATGCATGCCACTGCACAAGAGTGAATTTTATACTAACACTGTAAAAATCCTAACTTCAGTCTCATAGAATCATATAAAATTAGGATTGGAAGAGATCTCAGAAGGTCTCTAGTCCCTGCTCAAAGCAGGATCCACCACAACTAAATCATCCCAGGCAGAGCTTAGTCAAGGCTGGCCTTAAAAACCTCTAAGAATGGAAAATCCCCCACCTCATGAAGTAAGCTGTTTCAGTGCTTCACCACCACTGAGAACAGCCTAGCTCCCATCCTCTTTGGAACCTCCCTTCAAATAGTTGAAGGCTGCTATCAAATCCCCCCTCATCCTTCTCTTCTGGAGTCTAAAAAATCCCAGTTCCCTCAGATTCTCCTCATAAGCCAGGTGCCCCAACACCCTAATAATTTTCATTGCCCTCCATTGAACTTTCTCCAGTTCGTCCATATCCTTTTTGTAGTGAGGAGCCTAAAACTGGATGTAGTCATCCAGATATGGATAGCCTTACCAGTGCCGAACAGAGAGGAATAATCACTTCTCTCGATCTGCTGGCAATACTCCTAATGCAGCCCAATATGCCATTAGCCTTCTTGGCAACAAGGCATACTGTTGACTTATTTCCAGCTTCTCATCCACTGTAATCTCAAATTTTTTTCTGCAGAACTACTTCTTAGCCAGTCAGTTCCCAGCCCAGTAGTGCCTGGAATTTTTCTGTCCTAAGTGCACTTATCCTTGTGTTGAACCTCAGATTTCCTTTTGCCCAATCTTCCAAGATATCTAGCCACTCTGAACCCTATCTCTACCCTCCAGCAGATCTGCCTCTCCCACCAGCAGCTGTGTGTCATCTGTGACCTTGCTGAAGGTGCAATCTATCCCACTGTTCACATAATTAATGAATGTGTTGAACAAAACTGGCCCCAGGACCAAACCCTGCAACAGTCCACTTGGTACTAACTGCCAAGTAGACAGTGAACCATTGATTATTACCCATTGAGCCCAAAGATCCAGCCAGCTTTCTATCCACCTCTTAATCCTTTCACCCAAGCCATATTTCTTTTAACTTGCTGTGGAAGACCATACCAAAAGCTTTGTTAAAGTCAAGGTATAATCACACATCTACCATTTTCCCCATATCCACAGAGACAGCTATCTCCTTATAGAACAGGAGATAAGGAGGGCATGACTTGCCCATGGTGAATCTATTGACTGTTCCCAATCACCTTCCTCTTCGAGGGCATGATTTGCCCATGGTGAATCTGTTGACTGTTCCCAATCACCTTCCTCTTCTCTAAGTTATTCAAAATGGATTGTTTGAGGACCTGCTCCATGATTTTTCCAGGGACTGATGTGAGGCTGACCAACTTGGTCTACCAGATTTTTCCTCTTTCCTTTTTTAAAGATGGGCACTTTATTTGCCTTTTTCCAATCATCCAGGACCTCCTACAAGTTTTCAAAGATAATGGCCAGTAGTTCTGCAGTCACATCAGCCAGCTCCCTCAGTATTCTCAGATGCACTGTGCATGTCTAGCTTTTCTAAATAGTCCTTAACCTGTGCTTTTGCTACTGAGGTCTGCCCACCTCCTCCCCATACTGTGGAATCCAGAGCAGCAGTCTGGGAGATGATCTTGTCTGTGAAGACCAAGACAAAAAAAGTAGTGAGTACTTCAGCTTTTTCCATATAATCTGTTACTAGGTTACCTTCCCCATTCAGTAAGGCTGCGCCTAGACAGCAACCTAAACTCAAAATAAGATACGTCATTTGTGCTACACAAATTCTGTATCTTGTTTTGAAATTTGGTGCATCTACACAGTACCAAATTTTGAAACAACACGCTATTTTAAGACATCTCATTAGCCTTGTGGAATGAGAGTTACAAGAATGCCAAAATAGCGCATCTCTTATTTTGGCTTGTAAAGACATGGGGTAGCTATTTTGGGATATTGGCAGTATCCTGAAATAGCTGCACAGTATAGGGACCCAAAGCACCTTCTTGTTGCCAGCATACCTATAGAAACCCTTCGTGTTACCTATCACATCCCTTACTAGCTGCAACTCCAATTGTGCTTTGGCTTTCCTGATTATAGTACTGCATGCTCAAGCAATATATTTATACTCCTCTTTAGTCACTTGTCAAAATTTCTACTTCTTGTAAGGTCTCTTTTTGTGTTTAAGCTCATTGAAGATTTCTCTTAAGCCAAGCTGTCACCTGCTATATTTGCTATTTCTTCTGCACATCGGGATGATTTGCTCCTGTACCCTAAGTGAGCCTTCTTTAAAACACAGCCAGCTCTCCTGGACTCCTTTCCCTTTCATGTTAGCCGCCCAAAGGATCCTGCCCATCAGTTCCTTGAGGGAGTCAAAGTCTGCTTTTCTGAAGTCCAGGAACTGTATTCTGCTGCTGTTCTTTCCTTTTGTCAAGATGCTGACCTTAACCATCTCATGATCACTGCTACCCAAGTTGCTAACTACTTCTCTTGACCCTACTCATTCTTCCCTGTTGGTGAGCAGCAGGTCAAGAACAGTATTCTCCACTAATGACTGCAATTTCTATACATGTGGACCCATGGTTTATCACAAGGGTGGGGAACCTCCAGCCCATGGGCTACATGTACTTCATCAGGGTTAGCTGTTGTCGGACTGCAAGATAGTTTACTCACTGACTGTCCACAGGCAGCCCTGCAGCTACCTCCCAGTTGACATGGTTCAACATTCCCAGCCATTGGGAGCTGTGGGAAGCGATGGCCTGGCCTGCACATTTATCGCATATACACATCCAATTCTGGCCATCCAAAAAAACCTGAGGATCTGTTTGGAGAAGTTTTGGCAAGTAATGCAAGGCAAGTTGACACCATGACTGTAAATGCACTCAGGAAAAATGACTTCTTTATGACTTGCTGCTTGGGTTTTTAGAAACCTATCCATGCAGTATTTTATTTCCATTTTATGCATTGTAAAAGCAGAGCATGAGATGTGTGACCATGACTGAACTACACTGTTTAAAAGAGTAGTGTTATTTAACATTAGCTATATATGATATAGCTAATACATCCATGATCTTCTTTATACTTTACAAAGTTTGCAGTTGATTTTTATTCAAAACCCAAAGTACTGAAAGCTTGTATTTTTATTTGAGAGAAAGGTCTTCATTATAGCTTTAACAACCACCACAGACAAAACATTACCAAGAGTCCCGGGCAAGTAAGCATATTAATTTTTCTTATCCTAGTGAGTCAGAATGTATTATTGACACCTCAAATGAATCTTTAAAACTCTGCAATATTAAGAATCAGATTAATGTGAATTGCAGAGAGTAATGTAATTAACTACAATCACAAGTAGCAATACAGTGAGGCTGTGTCTAGACTGGCAAGTTTTTCCGCAAAATCATCTGTTTTTGCGGAAAAACTTGCCAGCTGTCTACACCGGCCGCTTGAATTTCCGCA